AAAACGCTGCTGAGTCCAGGGGTGCAGCGGCCCGTCTGCAGCCTCCCGCCACCACCCTCCAGACCCACCTACCTGTCTTTAGAAGCAGACTCCCCGGGGACCCTGGCACCGGCTGGGAGTGGGGTGCAGGGGCAGCACCCTCGGGGTGCCAGCCAGCCCGCTGCCAGGTGGGGACAGCGCAGGCGCCGCCGTGGCCGAGGGGCCATGAGCCCTGGCGCTGGCACGCCTTTCCTTGGCCAGGAGTCCCAGTCCTCGGGCCCGGGGGTCTTGTTTTGTTTAGTTTTTAGCACTTCTCACAGAGCGATGACAGCACAAGAGTTGCTTCTGGGATGGAAATGTTTAAATTATGAGTAAGAACAAAGCTACAATATGATGATTGCTAGTTGTGACTGGAGATTAAACACAAAAAAGAAAGTTTGTAGTGCTTTTTTGCTTGTCAGTAGTTTCAGTCCCACTCTTTTCTCTAGCCTGTCCCATAGTTGTTCCCTTGGGAAAAAGAAAAAAAAGAAAAAGAAAAAATTAATTAAGAAGGTATTTTATGTAGGAGTGTTCTTTTAATTTATTTTGTGATACCAGTTTCAGTCACTGTAGAGAAGCCCCATTATGAATTTAAATACTGAGAAAAGGATTGTTGTGTGTGTGTGTGTAGTAAGACAGGACTAGTTTTTTGTTTTTTGTTTTTTTCCCAAACATTTACCTACCCCACTCTTACTTTGTATATGTATATATATAAAGAAGAATAACTCACATCTCTCAGCTCCTGACAGTATGCCATTGATCCTGGTGACCTCGTCCACACCACAGTCACACACACCAGGTGGTGCAGGAGAGGCCAGGCTGTATTCCAGGCTCAGACCGACACTAGCTCCCCCTGCCCCAACTCATTCCCAACAGATCCCCACTTCTGCCACGTCTCACCTTGCATCGCTTCTGTCCTTCTCTGACTTGGTTTCCCAAGAGGCGGGGAGGGCCCAGGCTGCTGGCCTCTTCGACCACCAACCTTGTGTGCAGGCTTCCCGGGCACCAGGTGGGGAAGCATCTCTGGGAGCCCATCGCCCCTGCGGTCACCTGCAGGTGTGGGGCTTGGCTCCGGGTGACTCAGCCCCAGGCTGACCCGACGGCCAGTCCTACGTAGAATGTACGGAGAAGGACCCCTCCTCCCCCTCCAGGCTGTGCTCTCAACCTCACCCCCACCTCCTCCCCAGGGGAAGACAAAGATGAACCAAACCCCTGGGCTGGAGGGGGGCCAGTGACGGGCTGAGCCCCCGTCCCTCTCCCACTGGCTGCTGCTCTCACAGGCACTGGCATCTTTCCTGGGAAATGCGGTGGGATCCTCCCCCAGTGTGGCGGGCTCCTCCATAGCCCCAGGACTGCAGTTAAGCTCAGGAGCTTCCTGCCTCCTGATAGAGCACCCCTCTCGCTTCCCATGTCCCCTGGGACTGTAAGGGCACTGAGAAAGAGTTTGATCAGGGTTTCCCGCTGCCACACTGCAGGTGACCCCTAGGAATTGTGGCCTCTCCTTGCTTTTGCACATCCCTCCCGGTTCCCACAACTGGATTTTTACAGTTCATTCAGCTGGTTATAAGGGTTTTGTTGAAACTGTCTGAGTTGTTGGTGTCACTTCATTTTTGTTCTATGTAGGTGGTGTTTCTTTGAGTAGAAAGAAAACACTAACAGCGTAGTGCCCATCACAACAAGTGCTTCACAAACACTTCAATAAAAGAGAGAATTCTGCTTGCGTGACAGTGCAGTCATTTTACTGGACCAGACCACCCACCATGTCTCCACCAAGGCATCAGCTCTCCACAGTCCTGGCCTCGTTTGTGCTGATTTCCCCACCTCTTCTTGGTTTCCTCCTCTGTATGCTCCACACAATTTACTTGAGCTGAGTGCGGCGCTCTCCATGCAGCCCTCTTCTGACAGCAGCTCCCTCTGCTTGAAGTGATGTGAACCACTGAGGCACATCACTGAACTGACATGAGCATCAAAACATACCACACACAGCCCTGCCCCGGGGCAGCAGGCGCTGCTGCCTTCTGGACACGCTGTGGCACTTGCGCTGGGTGAGACCCAGACCACCCCAGGTGTCCTGTTCGGGATGTCCTGATGTTTGACACAGCTGGAATGAGCTTCCTCCTTGGAAGAGAGAAGACTGTGTTCGTGGCTGGACAGTGACCTCTCCTTCCAGCCTGTTTCTTTTGTTAATGTTACTTTTGTTTGTTGGCTTTTTATTTCCTGGGCTAAGTGGCGTTGGGAGATATGGACCAGAGATCCACTCTTTGAGAACCAGTGATGAAAATCAAACTGCCTTACTCCACTCTGACATAGCTAGTGGTACAAACGAGAACAAGAGACGATGCTGTTTAGATTGAACCTCTGTTGCCAGAGATGCTGAAGATACAGACCTGGGACAGGCCAGAGGGTTTCACTTTTGGCTTCCAGCTTAGATGACTGGCTGGAGGAAAGCATTTAGAGGAAAAGCAGATGAACACCCCTTGATGGTGGAATGACAAGGCAGGGGGAAACCCCTGTAACAGGGATCATGAAGGACACGGAGAGGAGTCATGAGCAGAAGGTTCAGGGCTTGGAAGAAGTGTAGGCTGTGTTTGGAACTGGATGGCTTCTGAAGGTATCAAACCACATCAAGGCTCAACAGTCACCCGTGGGCATTTGGTTTCAACCAATCAGCCTAATATCCTACTGTGGAAACCGTGACTGCCGAGTTCAGTCAGATTGTTCAAGAACGCAAACTGCACCGCAGATGTTGGGTGTCAGTTCTGGGGCATGACTTTAGGGCTTTGTTGTATTTCGTTTATGCGAGAACGGGTTGCTCATGCATCTGTGTGTCCCTGTTTGTGAGTGTCCTCATCTTTCTGGTAAACATCATTTTAGTCGCTCATTAGCGTTTTCAACAGGGCTCTTAAGTCCAGTAGATTACGAGTACTCAGTTAACGAAGATCTGGTTTACAAACACTAATTAAATGTTTCATTGCATTTTTTGTAAGAACATAGAATAATTTTATAAGATGTTTGTAGTTTATAATTGCCAAAAATAATTTAAAGACACTTTTTTTCCTCTGTGTGTGCAAATGTGTTTGTGATCCATTTTTTTAGGACACTCGCTTACTAGCTAGCTTTACAATATGCCAAAAAAGGATTTTTCCCTGACCCAAGCCGTGGCTCCCCCTCTTCCCCGCCATGCTTTGTGCCCTAGTTTATAACAAAGGAATGATGGTGATTTAAGAAGTAGTTCTGTGTCTTCAGTATCTTGGTCTTCCAGAACCCTCTGGGTTACTGGTCATTTCCCTTTGGCCTGTAGCTACTTTAACAGACTGAAAGAACCTCATTGGCCAAGGAAACAGCAGAGGTGTTGCAGCCCGTGGTGCCCATGGCGCCATCAGCATCTGGCTTGGCTGGGTTGGCAGTTGTGCTGTTAGCCGCAATGCCTTGGGATGGAGGGACACCACTGCCCAGCTGATGGTTTGCACAGTGATCACAGCCTACAGACTTATCACACAAATGATGATCATTCTGGTGCACGCAGGTCGTTTGCTTACATGCCTCAT